TGTTTAAGGGCAAGAATTTCCACTCAAGGAAGCCGTAAAATCCTGCCTGCAGAGTACAACCCTTCCACTAAATTTTGCAGATTCAAGTATAGCTGAATCACGGTCCCGATTCATCTAATGCTGGCTGGAGATGGGGACTGTAGTTCAGCACATCTGCAGGTCATCAAGTTGCGGAAAGGCGTACGACAGCCCATTTGGAAACTTGGCAAGGCGGGAGAATGAACACTGAAAGGTAGAACAATAACCACACCATGCTGAAAGATACAGCAGCCTATGCTTGGAGCTGAAAGATTCAGGTTTTTTACAACGTCTTCATTGCAAACTATAGCTTTTGCATCATAAGGATGAACCGTGTCAAGCTCTGGGCCCACATGCTTCCAAATGCAAATGAAGAGAGCAGAAGCTTTTGGTTTCAAGTGGCTGTACAGAAGAAAAGAAAAGAAAAAAAACCCCAGCAAGATATGGCTTGCCACAAACTAGAAATGAACTCTCCTCGGTTTCTGAGAAACCAAAAAAGGATTTTTGACATGTTCTCCACCATCTCATTTAACTATCAGAGAGCACAGGAGGAGATTCCATTCCAAGTCAGAATGGGACTGAGCCGGGTGGGGGGTTCTAGCAAAGTCAGTGAATGAGCGACGGGCTCTTTTTGCACACTGTGTCTGTGCTCAAAGTTCCTCTTCTTTCAGCCAAAATAAATACAACGTCCACATAGATGTCCACTCAGAAGAAATTGAGTCCCGGGGAGCTACTCATATTCTGATAGCACAGTAAACCATTCAGTTGACTATGGAATACTTTGTGCATCTGCTAGAGAACCCCTTGTGATTCTGCCTCCCAACTTCCTAGCATTTTTCTTCAACCGTCATGGTTACAAGAACATTTCACATAATGAAGTCTAGAAAGATGAGAAGACCAGCTGGCTTATAAACAGAGCGTAAAGGAGGGAAAACTAAGCTAAGGAGGCAGGAATAAGAGAAGTGATGAAAAAGATATCTTTGGAGGAACAGCTATTTAGCCTTTTAAAAGGCAGAAAGCAAGGAACAGCATCCTCCGTCATTGCAGGCAACTGTTACTCCCAAGAACAGTTCACACACTGTTGTGTTCTCTCTTCTGTTCAGCACCAAGCAATGACTTGTGTGTGTAAATCAGGCATCGCAAATACTGCTTCCAACATAAGGGTGGTCAAAGGAGTCAATTCACAATAGCATTATCTTTTAGCCATCTAGGCCCCAGAGAACACTTCTTGGTCTCCTGAGATCTCCAGCATGTGAGAAAATATACTCCCCACCACCACCATCGCGGTGATGATAACTCATTGGGTAAATTATTCGTTATCAACTTCCATTTAATAAATGTTCCAATAAAGTTCAAAGATAGTTAATATATTCAGATTCCACAGAAACGTTCAATTACCTTCCTAGACATTTTCAAATATAAAGACTCAATATGCCTGGATGACTCCCCCCAGATTAAAAAAAATCTCAATTGGCTTGGGGACCCATTTTGTTTAGAGCCAATTTAGACAAGAATGCAAAGAGCGCTTGTGGCATCAGTGACATATTTAATTCAACAGGAAGACAAGCTAGAAGACAGTTTCACCACACAGGAACTCCATTTACATTAGCTGAGTAATTAACATTTTCCTTACATGGCATACAGGAACAGCACCAACGTTTAGAAGGTTCGCATACTGATACACTATCTATATCCCTAACACAATATGCCAGGAAAGCTAAAAAGCCCACAAAATGTCAGAGAACATGAAGCCATTTGCTCAAGTCTGGTTACCACAACAATTCATGTTTAATATCCTTCAACATCCAGCCTGAGCAGTTCTTCTTGCAACCCCTTTCATTTCCTGATAATTTCTGGACACTCAGCATTCAACGATATGGTAACATTTCACCAAGAACCAAAGGAACACCCTTTCCTTGAGTCAAATGTTCCCTTTCATGTTGGATGGGAAGTTCATCGTGCTCTGAGTAAGCAAAAATGGTAGCAGCCATCCTGGGGACTTCTGGAAGACCCATAAAGGCAAAGCCTTCTTTTGGGGCCAAGGCCATTCGTGGTGGAGTAGCCCAGAGCAAGGCAAGGCTGGAAAAGGTTCTGGTCTGAAGCCCTGTCTTCATGCCATGGGCTCAGACAAAACATAGAACCACCTTCTCCATGTTGTCTGAGTGCAACACGGGAATCCAGTCAATGGAAGTACTACACTACCTGGAACAACAATCCAGTTCACTTTCAGAAGATTCTAAAATAGTTCTCAGTCAGTTGGTCTTATTGCCTTGACTACTTTGTTTTACGCCTCTCTGTTGGGTGCTTTGGCTGTGTTATCCTTTCAAGAAGGTGGCATTTGGGCACATTTACTGTACACTGGATTGAAAGAGATGCACACTGAAATTGCTCAAGTAAACCTGGATCCAAAACAATAAACTTCTTGCACCTTTTCCTCAATTAAACAAGTTCTAGATCAGCAAAGCAAAATGATCCTGTTAAGACTCTGCATTCAGTATCAACAAATCCAAATGTTACTTCCCGGTGCCTTCCCAATGCTCTGGGTTTTAGCCCCTGTTGGCCCAAGCGAGCACCCCAATGGCAAATTATTTGGGACCATAGTTCAAAACATCTAGAGGGTACCAGGTGGCCTATGGCTTCTATTGTTGGTGGCTCAGTACAATTGCTAGAAATAAGTAAAAATAGGAACTGTGGACGAAAGCTGTTAAAATCTGTATAAAAAAAGCTCGAGCAATAAAAACTGGTTATCTCTTAGAAGAAAAAAAAATTCTACTTATCAAGTAAGCAGTGCAAATTGGAACTAAGTCACACAGGCAGTTCAAAGATTTATCAAGGGTGTTTCTACTCCCTTATCATATATAGTAATCATTACCCCTGGTCATGAAAATGCTCTCCCTTTTACCATGGCAATTATAATTTCTTAAAGTACTTTTGTGACTCTGTGTTACTGCACTAAAGGTGGCACCAGCATAGTTATTACTGTGCATTAAGAGTTTAATAAATGAGTGCTTTTTGAACAACTGTTGCTTTAGGAACCAAATGTTATAACTGCCACTATGGCTTGTGACTCAGATGGTGGTTTTTCCCCCCACCCGCCTTGTCACAATCATCTACCTTTACCAACAGAAGGTGGGGGGGGGGTTCTGGAAGGGGAGAAACACAGCTTGGGGACGAGGCTTTGCAATAGGCTCTAATGGAAGCCCACTCTAGAAGAACACCTCCCCTGTGGCTACTGCCAAAAGAAGGTCAGATTAATTTCATGTAAGGCGTTCTTAGGAAAGATTCTTATCAAAAATAAAGCTGCCAGCTCGGCCACCCTTTGCACCCCAAAGAGGAATGACTGTGCCCAGTTTCTGCTCTGCTGTGGAAAAGGCACAGAAGCTCCCCCCCCTCACTGAAGCCATCAGGAAATGAAAGAAAGCCCCCCCTTGAGAACGAAGGACGGCGTTTGCCTTCTTTCCGTTGCCACAAAAGCCAGGCCACAAACAAACGTGAGCGGCTACCGCCTGCCGCTCACCAGGAGGGCTGGCAGGGCCGCCAAGGTCCAAAGTGGCAGCTCCCTCCGCCGGGTCCTGCTCGGGAGCAGCTGGGCAAGGCGGGGCAGGGCAGAGTTCCCCCCTCACCCTGGCTGGCGACCAGAGCAGGGCGGCCCCCGGGGACGCCGTGGGGGCGCAGGGGG